AAACTTTTTTTTTTTTCTAATTTTCTGTTTTAAGAAATAATTTTTCAAAATGACAAATCAAATACGCTATTAACTATTTTAAAATAGAAATGAATTCAAAACTTAAAATTGAAAACTGAAATATAAACCAAATCGCGTTAGATTTTGAGAACCAAATCCCCTTTGGAACGGTCCCACAAATCTTGATCAAAGCTTGATACATATAACTGAATTTTTCTCGTTATGTTATTTGGCCCCAACAATTGGCTGCCCATTTATAAAAAAATACGAATTCCATCTGATCAAATCCTCCGTTTGGAATGACGTGGCACAATCTGAATTGCTTATTCTCCTTTGTAGGTCCCAACTCAATTAGTTGTCCAGTTGGACTCCGTCTACTTTGTTCAATTTGACCCTTCGGTCGTATCTTGTACGCACCACCGCACACGTTAGCTTTTACCACTTTTTTGTAAAGATTCAAGAAAGTTAATTATTGGATCGATTTCATCTGCAGTCACTGAACTTTCAGTGAAATGTCAATTGAGCCACTAAAATTTAGTTTTGTCTCAATTGTGTCGTTGAACTGAAAAATTCAATTTCAATTTCACCCATCCTTCACATTCCGTTTTCAAAACTGAGGAAAATTGTTTAGATGATAGCCAAACCACAAAGATACTTCACATAATTGCCACATAATATGCCAAAGAAGAAGTAATTATGTAGAAATAATCTTTTTTGATTTTGATTATTTGAGAATCATTTATATTTCATATTCATTTCAACTATACATTCTAAAAAAATTATTTTTCACAAAATTTTCTTACTTTTTAACTACACATTCATTAAAAAAAAAAAAAAAATTCAAAAAATATTAATCAGAAAATCAAAATCAAATAGGCTCAAATTGTAATGTTTCTTGGCTAGTGTGGTTTTGCTTTCAACTCTTATGTGACTGGCACGTCACACATTGATCACATGAAGATCTGTTCAAGTTCGGCTGCAAACTAAGAAATTTTCGTCAGTCTTGGGACGAAAATGATGGAACGGGACGACTTGGTTATATTTGAAATTAAATAAAATTCAATGACTCAATTAGAATTTCGATAAAGTTCAGTGACGCGCACATAAAATTTACCCGTTAATTATTTATAGTTGTCATTTACGTTAAACTAACTTCACGAGCGAGTAATTGTATGATACTCATTCTCTGGTTACCACGTTGAGAATTCAAGAAGACCCATAAAGTATATTCTCAAGGTATGTGCTTGAAATCAGAAATTGTTAGAAAATGAAGAAATTCTTTTTTCTGAAAATTCAATATGTTGTATTTGGACTGAGTTTAGCTTTTGACTTTGATTAAGATTGCATTCTTGGTCTTGGGTTGAACTTGAAAATTCATAATGTATTTAATATGTGAAGAATGAAACTTGGACTGAAAATAGATTTCAGATTTTGAAGCATGGTTTGTTTTTCCTTCTTCTTTTAGCTAAACTTTAGTTTTTTGTATGCATAATCAAGATTTACTTCATTTCCTGTTGTGTGTGAAATCTGTGAGAAACAGTTCTAATGTCGATATCTAGGAAAAACTACTGCAGATTTAATTTCAACTATCGACATTTGGTAGCCCTACCATCTTCTCTGTTTCAGAGTTAGGATTAATTTGGTATTTGGCTAAGCATTTGTGGTTTCCCAGAGAGTATATTCCAATATCATTTTGTGAGTCTAAAACTCGTTTTTCGGTTCTCATATCATACTCGTTCGATTTTATATCACGTTATTGAGTAGAGAAAATGATTACTTGACAAAAGCTTCTATGCTCAATCTTAGGCTTTGTTTCATTTTCGCTGCATTTTAATACGTTTGCACAGCTAAAATGTCATGTTATTTGAAGAGTTCACTTATTAAAGTGTGCCTACATAAACCTTGAGGGATTGCTCAATTGGTCAGGTCTTGAGTTTACTTCCCAATGGTTAACAGTTCGAGTCCCCTTAAGGCCACTGAGGTGAGTACTCGACCGTAAACTTTAGGGTCCCGTGGGATTAGACGAGGTGCACTCAAGCTGACCCGGACATCCATGGTTATCCAAAAAAAAAAAAAAGTGTGCCTACTAAATGCATCTGAATATAGACATATAGGATTGTTGATAAATTTTCTGATAGTAAAACGATTAAGGTTTGGTAGCCATTCTTGATTTTTTTTAATCTAGATTATATACCTGCCGCAAAGACTTGATCATCGATTAAAGGTGTTATCCATTGAAGGTGAAGATTTTGATTTCTAAGTTTTAAGTGATTAGGAAAGGAGTGAATTTGGAACATTTGAATTGTTTGCAGATTCATCTGTTTAATTATAGAACATGTATGAAACGGTTAGGTATTGCTTAAAGGATTCTTGTATGTTTATATTGGTAGAAGGAGAAGATAGACTTCAGTTTATAATGGTTTGGGAAGCAGGGTTAATTTTAACATCTGAATTTATCGAGATTCTTGTTCGATTAAACTTAATGTCAATACATTGATAATGTCATCTGCTTCTCTGATTGACTATAGGAAAATGTCATATTTTCTGGTATATAAAATATTCAATAGATGCATATGCACCTTCTCGATTTTGTTTCTTCATGTTCCAATTGAATGACTATTGCAATCATTTTTCTTCTTTTTTCCTCTCTATTTGCAGTCTTCTCATCAGAACACAGTAGCAATGACAATGAATGAAACGGCTGCTATTACGTCTGATATTTCCAATCCCAACATGCAAAATTTTTTGCACGAAGGTCTCTCATACAATACCAAAGATATGGAAGGAGTACAAAATGCCTTGAAAGTTTCATATGAAGTATATATGACCTTAGCCTACTCTTCTGAAAAGTTGACAAATATGGAAAATCTTCATGTTTTACTAGACGAAAATGATATTGGATCAATTTCTGTTGAGGATGATAACATATCTGCAGAACCGATTAAAAAGGCTTTAATATTTGATATGTTGTGTGCTTTTTTATGTTCTGAAGTGAGAGAACTAGGCAATCTACTGGGTGATCTTCAAGATACTATTGTCAATGCCCTTCATGAGATATCTTCTTTTGGACAACCAACAGAATTGCTTACTGGGCTGGAAAGCAAATTATGTGATTCTGAAGAATCACTAAAACAGTCACAAGAGCAAGTCATGAAGATGAAGATCCAATTAGCCAAGTTGCAGATGTCCTCATTTTCTTTCAAGCAAAATGAAAGTAAGTTATTTCATATTGTCACGCTAGTAAACCAATCTAGTTTTTCTTTTGCATGTTTGATAGTGCGGATTCAATAGTACTAAACAATCTTAGCGAAGAAAAATATGCGAAAATCTTGTTTAGTATAGAGTTCTCTGCAGTGCTGCGTATCAAATACACACCAAGAGTATACAATGTTTATCATAATAACATGTGCTTTTTGACAGGGAAATATGACTTGGCTGGAAGTTTTAAAGAAGAATTTCATTTAGAAAGCACAGAGTTCCAGCCACAAATGCAGAAAATTGAACAAAGGCGTGTTTTAAGAATGCTGGAAAACTCTCTTGCAGGAGAGCTGGAACTTGAGAAAAAATTAACAGAACTGAAACAAAATGAGGAAGATCTTAAATTGAAGATACGGTTAACAGAACAAGTTGCTGTCTACCTGGAAGAGGCAGCAGAGGGAGCTTGGAGCAGGTTCTTAGAGGCAGATAATACAGCAGAGGTGCTGATGGGAATTTCAAAAGAAATGGTGGGCAAGCTTCAAATTGTTCAGCTCAATCTGAATGGTTCAACCAAGAGAGAAGAAGAAATGAAATCTACACTCCGAGATTGCATAAATCAATTGAACGACAAAGAATTTGCAATAGGAAAACTCAACAGCAGCATTTCACATCTTATCGCCGATAATTCTGAAGTGACTCATTTAAGAGAACACGTCAAAATGCTGGAGAAAAAGCTGAACAAAACTGAGTCTCAGCTCAAGGAGGCAAATGCATCTAGTGAAACGAGTCAACAGAAATTAAAAGAAATGGAGGGTGAAATCCAGTCCCTTAAGGAAAATATATACGACACTGGGAGTAGGGCTGAAAGTGCAGTGACCAAAGTTACGCATTTAACAGAGACAAACTTGGAACTGACAGAAGAACTAAATTTTCTTAAAGGTAGTAATGATAGAAATAAAAAAAAGGTGAGCATACTCGAGAAGCAGGTAAGGGAATTAGATATCCAATTGCAGCATGCAAAGGCTTCCTCTGAAACAAGTCAAGAGCAGCAGAACATGCTATATTCTGCAATTTGGGACATGGAAACATTGATTGATGAACTGAAACAAAAAGTTGCGAATGCTGAGAGTAAGACTGAGAGTGCCGAGGACCGATGTATTATATTGTCCAACACAAATTCAGAACTTAACGAAGAACTAGATTTTCTGATAGCCAGAATGGAATTCTTGGAGAAATCTATGAACCAAGCAACTATTGAAAAAAAATCAAGTACAGAAGACATTAATATCAAAACCGAGCTTATTATGGATATGGTTATGCAACTCACAATCGAAAGGGAGCGAATACAGAAACAGGTGCTTTATTTTTGTCTACTTTCTTCTCAATTATTGGTGCTTCCAGAGTCTCTTGTCATGTACTGCATGCAAGTGAACCGAATTCTATGTTTTTATTCTTATAGATTGGGTTATTTGGTGCAGTTGTACTCTTTAACAACGGAAAACAAATTGTTGAGGGAGAAGTTCCACGATGCAAAGAAGGTTGCATCTGTAGTTCAGAGAGGCAATAGCAGTAGTAATAAAGAATTCCCGTCATCCGAGCTCGATTCATCTGATCCTGTTTTGACAAAATTTTCAGCAGAAGAAGAAACACCAAACAAATTGTTGAGGGAGAAGTTCCACGATGCAAAGAAGGTTGCATCTGTAGTTCAGAGAGGCAATAGCAGTAGTAATAAAGAATTCCCGTCATCCGAGCTCGATTCATCTGATCCTGTTTTGACAAAATTTTCAGCAGAAGAAGAAACACCATTCTTGTCAACAAGTTTCCGGGCAGGTTTACCTCTTGGAATTCCCCTAAATCTCTCTATGGTTCTGGAAATTTTAAGACTGAAGAGATGATGGTACAAATCCTTGTTTTATAGTGGCAAATAATATGAAATAACAAGTAAAGAATACACACAAATCTAGAATGAACTGCATCTACTGAATACTTATTGCAGACTAGCCTCCCCGTGGGGGAGCCGATTTTCAATTTTATTAAAGTTCCAACAAAATGTGGGAACAACTACTTTAACGATTTTTTGTCCGACTTATAGTGGTAATACCCAACTGAAAAATTGGTAGTGTTAGGAGTTTCTTGATTTGACTAATTAGTTTCCTGTCCTCTCCCTTGTGCAACTGAGGAAAAAAAAAAATATTCTACACTTCTACATGTCCAGCAATAGCTTCAGTCATCCTATCAAAGTGGCTCACTGATAATTGTTTTAATTTGATAATTCATTGATCAGTTGTTCTTTATCAATTATTCACTCTTTCATTTGTAGTGTGATAATTTGACTTGAATCAATTATATTTTCTACCTCCGCAGCCACATATTGTTTTCTTCAGTGCTATTGGGAAAAAAAAAAAAAAAATTCTATCTGAAAGCATTTGACTAATGGAAAGAACATTGTAGTCTTTCAATTTTAATACAGTTTTGATTCATTACGTAATTCTAAACTTGGCTTTTGAATATGTGAATCAGGGGTACTAATCACCGGAGGATATGCCCCCAGATCAGAGTGAATTGGTTTCCAGATCTGTAAACAATGAAACAAATTCCACTCTAAAGGTGGAGGCAGAGGGAATGGTAAAAACATGGGATTGTAGGAGAAAGTTCACCTATGTGACAATTATTGTTCTGATGCTTTCTATTTTGGCAGCACATCTGTTTCAGCACCAATCCTGCAGCCATTAAACCTTCTGAGAGTTAATTCTTTGCACTCGTGATTCTTTTTTCTCAACACATATTTCCTGCAAATCCTGTTTGTAAACCAACATGATTCATTTGGTGGCCATCACAAGTAGATATAACTTGGAGTACTTTTGGTTTATTTATCTTTTTCTAGAATAGGTATCTTTGAATTGAACTTAACAAAAAAAAAAAAAAAATTCAAGTAGCATACTCAAGTTTATTGTGAACAAATCTTAGTTTGTTCTTCGAAGATAGTTTGTTTGATGTACCTAGGATTAGTTTCGAATCCCAAAAATACAGGTGTTGTAAACTTACAAGTTGGTGATTTGTTGGATGTAATTCTATGTTAACCTTGCAGAAATAAGTCCTTACGTGTGTGTACTTGTGGCTGTATAAAATTTCAATGAAAATTTTGAATATTTTTACAATAGCTGTTTATTTTCATATATATATATATATATATATCGACCACAAGTATGCAAAATCACATTGACCACAAGTATATGGTGTCATAAGCAAGTAAAATAGATAGAAAGTGTAGAGAGCCGTGAACACAAATTGATAGATTTTGATATATTCTATTTTGAAATAAAATAAAAGCAGTTGAAAAGTAATGTTTGAGAAAGAGTGGATGATTAAATAGTTGATATTTATGATTTCGCTCAATCTTCGTCTAATTAACTGCAGAATTTGCAATATAACATTCTACTTATTTTCAATTGATCAAGCCAATTTTTCTAACGGAAGTAATTACATGTATCGAGTGATATCAACTCTAATTAATTGTATTAATTCATTATATCTCTATAAATTAATATGACAATCAAGCAGCGTATATGCTGCTGAGAATTACCAAATGGGTCAAGTAGGGCTTAGAAAAACCTAAGTTGAATTACAAAATGAGTCACTTAGGCTTTGAAAAACCTAAGGTGATTGCTACCTGCTGTAAATTGAATGATTAACATATCAGAGACCACACAATTCGCAATATATTTATTTATTAATCAAGTAAATGAATGTGATTAACTCATAGCAATCACATAAAACTTGACATAAATTACGAACATTGGATTAATTAAACTAGGATTAAAATGCATCCCAACTTAATACAAATTAGCTCATAATGTAAGAGGAAAAAGAAAATGTAAAAGAGTAGAGAATACATAACAAAATTCTTGAAATTAGAGAGAACAATAGAAAAGACTCTTGCAACCGTACCAAATAGAGAATTCCTGAGTGAAATTGAACTTTTTCCTCCTCCGACTGTATTTTTCTCCAATCATCCCTTCGCTTGGCTTGTATTCCCCTTTCTCTTGCTCTCCAATTCTCACCCCAAGCCCGTCTTCTATAACATTCGACAGGAATAAATTGATTCATAAATGATATAGGTTGAATTATTGGCTTTAGAAACTAAAACTAAACAACCACTAAACTAAAATTCCCACCCTTTAACCGACTTTAGGATTGTTTGGATGGTTGAACAGTTGTAACGAAACATGGATGTAGACGTGGATTCCGCGCGTGTGTTAAGCTTTGCATGTATTGTCTGAAACCAGTAGGATGAAAATTGGGTGAAGACCTTAACTCGAAGCCAGTTCTCGAGAATGAGTGTTTAATAAGGACATTGCATTAATCACTGCATAAAAGGGAAAAAGTTAATTTGTTGTGATGCTACCCTAAAAGATCCCAATGATGACTACTATAATAATCTCATTGTAAAACATCTCTTCGTAACCTTTATGATTCGAGTGATTAAGCTTGTAAGGGTTTAAAACCTGATATCCTAAAGTCATTTGATTCGAGAGTTATTGGTTAAAATCTCACTGTAGGGGTCATTTAGAAAACTTAATAGAGAGACGACCGGGCATAAGATTAATAATATATATTTATATGTGTATATATATATATATATATGCCTTGATTAAGACGTACTATATGCCTTGATTAAGCCACAATCACTTGTTTTAGAGAATTATGCCTTTGATAAGGAGTTAGTAGCTTGGTTGATTCCTAAGGGTTAAAGCAATCGAGATTAAAGAGAATTCTCATTTATTGATGTGTTAAATTATAATGGGTAAAAACTTGATCAAACTGGAGAGGTTAGGGAGTAGTGAAATGAAGAATAATTTCAGAATACACTCTCTTGGGGAGAGAATGAAAAGAAATTAAATTTAAGGTATGTCAACCCAATGAGCAGAGAAATGAAATATTTGACTTTCATGATCGAGAATTAAATTGACTTATGATTGTACAACACTATATTTGATTCTTCACACACATACCCGTTTTGCATTGGAAAGGTAAGGGTTTGACTTTTGCATTATAACGTTGAAGTAGTTCATGAATTAGATACCATGTCTTCAATTTTGAGCCATAAAGACAAGCTATCCAACTATATGTTGTGAAGTGAGTAATTTGTTTGTGTGTTTTAGTTGTGTATTTGTTAGTTATATTGGTGTGAGGATAAGCAAATAATTAATTTTGGGGGTGTTTGGTGAGTGTATTTCACTCCTTGAATTAGCACCTCTAAAGCATAGTTTTCGGTTTGTTTTTGAGTACTTTTTGAGCGTCTTAAAGTGTTTGTTCGCGTTGTTTTGTAGTTTAGGTAACTTGGTGAAAATTGCGTATTTTGGAGCTTGGAATGGAGTAAAATTGTTGATCATGAAAGTAGGCATGGAGTGGAGATGAAAGAAGAGAAAAGTAAAGTGGAAAAGAGGCAAGAAAATGAGACCAAATGAGAAGGAAACATATGGGTGCCTAGGCACCAAAGAAAAGGTCAGAACACCAACACAATGTTGGGCGCCATGCTCAGCCGAAAGAAAAAAGGAGCAGCATTGCTGGCATTGTGGCGCCGCAAGATTTTCACGCATCATTGCCACCCGAATTTAGGAAATCTCGGAATTTAGGAAAGTTTTCGGCCTAGTCTATCCCCAACTCATCTTGAAAACTTCAAAACACAATAAATATAACCTTAGAAACCACTTTGAAAGAGATAATTGAATGGGACATGATTCAAGAAATCTAGAAGGAATCAAAGACAATTTGGTGAAGAAGATTGATTTAACCATCCAAAATAGTTTTATCTATCTTCTCCTCATGTTATCCTTTATGAATTGTATAGATTTCACATCTCATATCATGAACTAAATAATTATTCTAGGGTTTGATTAGCCAAACTTGATCATATGATTTGATTTGATTTTAGTTATTTTTATGAAATTTTTCTTTCCCGTTTATTTATGTTTTGATTTAATGCTTTCAATGATTAGATGCTAGTCAATTCTAGCACTCGAGAGAGGGGAATTTAGATGCGATTACAACAATAACACAACCTAGATTTTATGATTTCGAGAGAAAGTGTAGAATCTATGAAGCTTTATTCCATCTAAGAACCACGATCTTGATAAATTTTGATTTTATTTCGAAATGGAGATATTAGAATTAATTTCTAGGATTAATTTTTACCTTTAATCTACATTTTGTGGGTTTCGAGAGAGGGTAGAATTTATGAAGCTTGTTCCATATAAAAACTACGATCTTGATAAATTTTGATTTTAATTTAGAATAAAGATATTGAAATTAATTTCAAGGATTAATTTTTACCTGGAACTTGAGATATGGGGGGTAGAATTACATTAGGATTCTTGTTTATAAACATGAAAAATTGATGAGAGATAACTAGGTTTTTGAAAATTGATAGTTAGGTGAAATCTGTCCTATTGATGACATTCTTTTTGTTGATCTATCCAATTTTTCTCCTTTTATTTCTCTTCTTCACCCGCTGATATTCCATTTTCTTCTACCTCTGCTCCTTCTCCCGCGGGGTCTGTTCCTCCTCCTGCTGATCTTTCCTCTGTTCCTGTTGTTCCATAGTTGCTCTTATGGGACAAATGACCGAACTGATCGAGCATCAGACTCGGATGATGGCACAGCTCACGCAGTTGCGAGCTACAGTTGAAAGACACACTACCAAGTTTACTACACTCTAGAGTACTGTTGGGTATCTTCAGCGAGGGCTTGGGTGGATTCGTCTCCACTGGGATGATGGTGCAGCCTCTGGGGAGAGGACTGGTTCTGATGATGTTGACAATGCAGTTTAGATGATAGTTTACCCCTTGTCATTTTGTGTCAAAAATGGAGAATATATGTATATTTTGGAGTAGATATTTTCTATGTATATGATAATATGATTTGACATGATGTATCTACAAACTTTT